TTGCAAGTCCTGAGGGTCAGACTTTGGGCCTGGACATTGTCCCTGAGTTCCTTTTGCTCAAGACTAGCTCTCTACCACTTTGAGTCACAGTGCCACTTTTGGTTTTCTGCTGATTTTTTAGAGATAGGAGTCTCACAGACTTTCCCTAACCAGGCTGACTTCAAACCACAATCCTCAGAGCTCAGCCTCCTAAGTAGCTAGGATTATAGGGATGAGCCAACAGCACCCAGCTTTTTCCTTTGTTTAATTGAAGAGTCTCACAGACTTTCCTGCCCAAGCTGACTTTTAACCACAGATCTCAGCCACCTGAGTAGCTAGGATTATAGACATGAGCCACCAGTACCTGGCACAAGCTTATTCTTGAATTGAATTGGACAGTTTCAAATTAAGTCTGGAGTCTCATGCTAGCAGTACCCTATAACATATGGAGCCTGATCCTGTCCAGTCCAAGCATTATAGCTTTGAAGAGAAATCAAGATGGTTCCCAGTGGTCTGTAGAACAATGATGGTTTCTGTTTTTATCCTAGGCACATCAGCACTTGCTTTTCTGAGAAATTTACTTACTGAACTGATGTCTTAGGAATTCTTGTCCCCTCCCTATTTGCTTTGCTAAATACTAAAATTTAAATCATCGTGAGTCCTTCCTGGGCTACCCCAGGACCAAGTAAGAAATGAGATTCGGGGTCAGAGCTGCCTTTGACTCAAACTATTGTTATTCAAGTCCCTAAAATATAGCCATGCAGTATAGGAATGATTGTTCAGGCAGAGAAAAGAGAAATTGGACTGTGCTTTGTAAACAAGAATTAAGCATTTAGAGAAAGAGAATAGACAGAGGCCTATGAATCATAGAAGAATCAAAATGATGAGCCCACAGCAGCAGAAAAACACATAATTTATTTTATATATAGCTGCTGCTGATTGTTTGGAAACAGGTAGTTATGAAATATTACAGAGGAAAAACACAGTAAAGAATATTTTTCTTAGTAATAAGTTTTATCTGTGAACTACCAAAATCCTAACATTTGTTCACTTATTCCCTGAAGAAACTATAGAGAAGCATCTGGAATACCAAGATGAGTAAAATTTATTCTTAGTACCAAATAGAAAGAAGGGCATGAACAAATAAAAAACAGTTGTGATACAGCATGTTAACATGGTCCTCTTTCCCACTGATCAAGAACATAGACCCTGGTGTCAAATAGACATGGGCTTGAGAGAATGTGTGTATGTGTGTATATTATATGTGTGTGTGTGTGTGTGTGTGTGTGTTTGTGTGTGTATGTATATAGTTGACTTTAATAAATACATTAGCATCTTCCTTTGTGAAACAGGACTAGTGATTACCAACTCAATCTTCATTCTTTTACTGTGAGTAGAATCCCAATTTTGTTAAGGACAGAAATCTGCTCAGCTTTGAAAAGAAGAAAAG